GAGAGCAGTAGATGCATTGTTTCGGCGCGATATCCTCAAAGTGCATCCAAGGAGGACTGTACTTTCATTTAGACGCCGTTATTTTTTTCACTTATTAAACACGCATTAAAACAAATAATAAAACTATCTTCAAACAAGTGCTTAAGTAATTCAAATCAAACACAAAAATTAATATGAAATATTACTAAACAATTACGAGGGCCTAGCGATTTTACAAAAGTTGCGAATAAAAAATTAAGTAAGTACTTGCGGGGAGCTACCGGCTGGCCGCATGAAAAATATAAACACAAATACCTATATTAAAATTCAGACGTACCATAGGTATGAAAATGTACCTAGCGGCCAGGACATACGGTTCAAAATCACTAGGAATAATTCCGTGTCGCTTGCTCATTTATTTTGCGTCGATCGGTCTGTCTCGCTCGCTCGGTTCCGTTCGTGCATTAAGCAACATTACACGACAAAGAAAGAAACATGTTGGGTGATAGTGTGATGTTTGTTTCCTTCGCGTAATGTGTGATGTTGCATTACATCGTAGAGTAATATTACCCGAGTAATATCACTCGCATTACTTACACATGTCTATTTGAATACAAGTATCGACCTGTACGGACGTGTCTTAGCGCGCGCATGTGAATTTAATAAGTTAATAACATTTTTAAATAACCAGTTAAAATAATTTTGCGATGAATTTAGAATTTTTTTTATTCAATAAATACAGTTATAGTAAACATTTTGTTTCATTTGAATAGTTTGATATGTTCCTTACAAAAAACAGAAATAATTTGAAATCCATCTACGTTCTATGCACAATTAGCGACGAAGGGCTCGACGAGTAAATTAACCCATAGACACAGCCCAGTCCCATTGAGTTTCTCGCCGGATCATCTCGGTGGGTCGCGTTGCCGATCCGGTGATATATTCTGCAAAGCACTGCCCCTGCTAGGGCCAGTGTTAGCAACACTTCCGGTTTGAGCCCCGTGAACTTACCAACACGTCAGGCGAAGCTGAAATAGCCTCTAATGCCGGCCACTCAAACATTCATTCGCAAACTTAGCGGCTGTGCAAATGGGTTCGGTACTCAATTTACGAACCCGTTTGCGCTTCCTCCTACACTTGTTTACAAATGTCTCACGAATTTCTCCTCCTTTTTAATTCGTCGTTAATAAGAAAAAGAGTTTTGAATTCTTTCCCAGACATCATTAACAGCCATGCTATTTTATGGGATTTCTTTTGATGAAGATACGCTACACAGTAGACGTCACGATCTATGAAAATAGCGAAACGTCCGTTACCTTCGCAATGGTCACACGAATGTGTAGAAAGTACGCGAAGGATCGCGGTTCGCGCGCTTTGATGTCTGTTAAAAAACCGACACAGCTTGGAAAACCACGAATGCAACGAAAACTTTGCATAATCATTTGCAAATGTCGTCCTACACTTGCGGGTTGCGTATTCGTGCGAATGTGAGTGACCGGTATCAAGTAGGGATGTAAACCGGTTCAAAGAAAACCGGAGAAAAACCGGTTTTTATACATACCGATAAATACCGGTTTTTATTTAAGAATACCGGTTTTTTACGCTTTACATTCACAGTTCACACCAGTGCTACCAGATCAAATATACAAGCTACAAATATAAAAAAAACCGTGTTTCAGAATCAAATTACCGTGCATTACGTTTAAAAACTACAGTGCAATAACCACAATATGGTTGGTAGACTTTTAGCGTACGAAATGAGGACTGTGACCCAAATATCCACATATCTGCACCCAACACTCAGAAATGGCTTTCGCCAACCAGAGCACATGTTGTCTGCAAAAGAGATGGTGCATCGTGAACTGGGGAATCTTCTTGAAGAATTTTCAACTCTCGCTTTATCATCGGAACAGCCTAAAAAAATCACAAACAATTTTAAAAAGCCTGGTATTCTGGATTTTTTGCATTCGCGAAAACGGGATATTCCGAATGCCACGGCGGCCGCAGTGATTATAGTATAAACCACACCGAAATTGCTGGCACGTGCTAACATCCAGAAGGAGCAGGCTTCTGAATGACGCAGTGAACCAACTATGCCTCTTGCATCAAAATGCTTTTTATTATTGGATAATATATATGATCATTAAAAGCCTATATAAAATATGCTTACCCAATTAATTGTATGAAGAAAACTCTTCGTTTGTACGTAAACTTGTTTTATTTAGTGATTATTTAGTCTTTATGGAAAAAACCTAAAAATACCTAAAAAAACCGGTTTTTTGAGAAAAAAACCGGTAATAAACCGGAGCCAGAAATTGTAATCGGTTCACATCGCTAGTATCAAGGTCTCAAGGTTATCAGCATAGGTAGGAAAAAAAATACGTATAAGTCTGCCTAAATCTTGTTAATATTCATATTGTATTTGTGTTAATTAAATAAAGTCAATAGATAATGATGACAAATATAACAAATTATTCCCAGTTTTTTTTCTAGAATGCAGATGCAGAATATACCAGTGTGTTTGGTGCCAGTTTTTAACTTCTCGAACGTCTGCGTTTGCCGCTAGGGGCCCAGTTCCCGGTGAAGACGTGCTGCGCATCATGTGGCGTACGCTAAGTGGAGGGAGCGGTTGATGGAGGAACTTGGCCGAACTTCGGCCACCCGCAAGGGCGGATCCAGCTTTGGCGCCAGGAGGGGGTCACATAGTCAAATTTAGATGCGTTCGTTTCCAAACGTTTGCCATTATACAAAGTTATTATATTTTTAGCAACGGCTTAATAATTTAAATAAATAAAAAAATAATACAATAGTGGGTAGGAACGATCGACACAGAATATTAAATCTAAGACAAGTGAACGCTGCGCGCGCTGCTAGCCCAAGTGATCCGAGGTGGCGTGATGTCCCCGCTGGTCGGTCGGTTGCCCCTCCAGATGACGTCACGAGTCCACGTGAGTGCTCGT